CCCTCCCCCAAACCTCACATATGACTGTTTTTACTGATTTTATGACTGCTGCAAAGAGACAGTAGGCTTTGAAGTTTGCACTGCAGAGCCCTGGTCTTACAAATCAGTAGGAGACAGCATCTTCCATAATTGATGCATCTTTATGGACAGCAATTTGGCAACAGCAGCTTTTCAGCTTAGGCTAGGGTTCCATGACAATTTTGGATTTATTTATGTTGATGCTAACACTGTTTTCTTTCCATCTCCTCCTTTGTGGCAGCACTGGGAATATGGTGAGCTTGTCCGAAAAAGGCAATCCTGCAGAAAGTGTTACTTTAAGGGGAACCAGTGGCTGGGGTACATGCAAGTTAAAGAAAAGAAAAAGTTTTGGATAAAGCAGACCCCAGGCATTTAGGCCTTGGTAGTAATTAAAAACGAATGGCATCATATTCGTCGTTAGACAGCTTGCAGAATGCTTGAGCTCTCTGTTTCCAGGTAGGAATGCTGCTTAGCAAGTACAGTGCTGCAGTACTTACTCTTCTGAGTGGTGACTGTGTTTAGCCTGAGTAAAACCTTCTAATAAATCTGATCCCTGGGCATCAAAGGCAGGGTAGTTGTACCCAAGGTATTAGGTGGGGGCAAGCATCTTGCTTCCTGCAAAAGTGCAGGTGGAAAAGAATATCCTACGCTAAATTTGGTTTGGATTTTGTGGGGTTTTTTTATCAGTAACAATGTAGGATATGGTCCTTTGGTATGACCGTTTATTACAATAGATTGTAGTACCGGTTTCTCATAACATACTGTCCACCAGCAGTGTGGATCTAGATTCAGTAGCTGGCCCTCTGTTGTGTTGTTTTGGGTGGGGTTTTTTTGTTTTGGTTTGAGTTTGTGTTTTGTGTGTGTGTGCGACTCCTGTAGCCGATAGCATTCTGCCTGTTGTTATTTAGCACTTTCAAAGCTACCTTTTCTTCTAGTTTCAGTATTCATAACTTGAAGAGTGGTAGCTAAATTTGCAACTGCTGTAGGTTGCAATAAACAGCTTGTAAGATCTAGCATCTTTAGCAATCAATGGCAGAAGACCCTGTGGGGTATTACCCTCAGTTGTGAAAGCGGAGAAATGATGGATCTTGCTTACTGTATCTATATCTTTCCCATGTGAAAATCAGTGCTGTCTTTAATTGTGTTTTCAGATGGGTGGTCTTTGTGTGTGGCGTTTGTTGTGTGTGCCTGTGTGGGTTTTTTTGTTTGGCTGTTGATTTCCCATATGTGGAGATAGTTGCATAAAATTGTGGCTTCACGTGCAAAATTCTTTGTTCTGCTTGTTCCCAGTCTTTATCTTTAATCTGGTGTCATGCAATACTGCTTCAGATAATAAGCTTTGGATAAAATAGAATTTTGCACATAGATTTACACTGAAGATTTCATTTCTGGACATTTTGTAAGCTACATTATACTGTAACTCCAAAACCACTCATGAGAAACCTTGGTCTTGTCATGGATTTAGCATGGGGTTTTTTGTTTTATTTTTTTAAAAAAAATTAATGTCATATACTAGGCTATTGAATGGCATGGTAATATCTTTGTAGTCCTGCCAGTACTCAGTCTTTCCTAACAGATGTAGTACCAGATAGTGTTTTTGTGCTGTGTAAATGAAGCTATTGTAGTACTGTGCTAGTAGAACTGACTTCCTTTCTCTGCAGCTTATCTGCACTGCCGTTATCTCTAGGTATGCCACGTTTTCCAGGAAAATGCTGTCTATTTAATTCAACACTGATCAGTTCCTTTGTGGTAGATCTACAAAAGAAGAAAGAGTGGATTCTAGTCTTTAATATCTGTGTGTTTCTTTCTTTTTAATTTCAAGCTAATATTTTTTTCTATTCACAGTGGTGCTCACATTAATAAAGGGAGTAGAGGTTATGTGAAAAAGATTTTTATTGTGGATAGACTAAACCGGAAAACATCAGTCTTGCATCTGTGCTTTGTAAAACTGGCAGTGATTTGTTATAGGCAGGGGGATTTTTTTTTTTTTTTTTTAGTGATGCTGACATGGTTTGTTTTTTTTAAACTAGCTTCTTAAAGAAACAAGGTTTCTGCAATCATTGACTGCCTGTCCTGCCTCCCAAGATTCTCTCCTGTCCTGAAATAACTTTGAGCCCATAACCAGTTAGAAGCAAATATTGCAGAGGTAATGGTCTCAAAAGTGGTGAATTCCTAAATATATTGAGAAAATAGGCAGCCAGCTAAGGAAGACAGGCATCATTATCACCCCTGCAGAAATAAAGGCTGCAGCATGAGTGCCTTTGATAGAGAATAGAGACACTGTGAATAACCCTGTGGGAGGAGAGCCTTCAGTGGAGCTCAGACCTTCTTAGACACCAGCGAATCTGCCTCGCAGCAAAACACCAGGCTGCATTAGCCCTTCTCTTCATAGGAGTATTTACTTGTGTAAAATGCATTAAACATGCATTTTTAAAACAGCTAGATGCAGTGTTTGGAAGCTATTTACTGGGATGTCGATGATGATCTGTATTTGACTTTGGGAAATAGCCATTTTCACTGATGAAAGAACCACTTCTGCATAGTTCATTCCTCTTTCCTGATCAACCTTGTGCTTGTGAGCACCATCAGCTTCATTTCAGTCTAAAGTAAAACTGCTTGTCCTGACGCTGCCGTTGAAGGTATTATAAACACTTTCTCAAAGAGAAAATAATGGAGTTTTCACCACTGATCTGGTTTTACGTCAGACTGGTTGCTGTGATGGCTCATTTTCCTTGTATCAGTTCTAAATCAAAAGCTAGTTACCATTTTAATGCTTATATAAAATATATTTGCTAAATTACGTGTTTCATAGGACAGGCAAAATATCAGAAGATTTTTGCTTTGGGTTTTGCACATTAGCCAATCAGAAACATTTTGCTTCATTATGGCTTAACCAAGCATGGGAATACTTGTAAATCATCTTTGCCAACTGTCTAAGCAGAGATAGTCTACATCTGACAGCGCCCAACGGACATCTGCATTTCCACAGACCAGAGCTATTTTCCCCAGGGTCTGTGTTATTTTGGACTGAAGTCATGATGAATGTAGTGGCATTTGTCAGCCAAGCCCTAGGTAAGAAGTGATAACTAACAGCTCTGAATTTCAGAGGTAGACCATAGCCAAAGCGAGGGCTTTTGAGGTGTAGCTTAAAAAAAAGGAGCCGGAGGGGGAAACCAAAGCGCGTGTGGTAACCGTTGAATTAAGGTTTTGCTTTCTGAAGGTCGCTTCAGTTGCTTTTTGTTCTCTTTCAACACTTTGTGGATTTTTGCATTGCTGCTACAGAAATATTATCAAATTGAAAATGCCAAGTTGTTGTTCTCTCTCCTTGTGCTGTAATGTTGAGATAGTGCTCATCCTAGCCATAGTCGTAATGCAGATGTGAAGGGACTCTTGGTGAGACATTTACATGAAAGCTCTGGATGTCTAGAGTTGTGTATAAAAATCTGTATTTGCTAATCTCTTAGGAATTGTAGAAGGCGTTTTTTAAAATGAATTTGTGAGAAACAGGGAAAAATGGAATTTGTTGAACTAGTCCTTCTCCAGTATTGCAGCGATTAGAAAGGTACTTCTTAAGCATATAGGAATCAACGTTCATTTTAATTGCTTTATAAATGTTAGGTTATGGGTGTATTTTTGCATGTTTATGCATGTTTGCATGTATATAAATGGGTTTGAATTGTTCTGTCCTTGAATGTTGCACTTTGCAGGATTTGGGGATTTTTCAACCCCACTGATCACACTGGAGTAATGTTTGGTATTTTTCTTGGGGGGAAAAGGAAGAACTACTACAAGCGTGCCATAGCATAGTTTTTTAGCTATTTCCCTTCTCAGAAGTGGCCAAGTTAATAAACCATAGGATGATGAGCATCGGTTTGACTATCATTGCCATCTGAAATACATGTTTAAAAAGAATAATTATTTAAATTTTACTTTTGAGTTGTAATGTGACAAATGTTCTATGAATCTAACCAATTTAACCTCTAATAAAATGAACTGTTGTTGACTTCAAAATATTCTGTACTGCTATTATGTTTTTTTCTATCAATTCCTTTCTTAATTGATTGCTCTATTTCCCTCTGCCTCCCATGGCAGCCTTTTCCCTGTAAAAGGACCGATCTGTCTAAGGTAGAGAAATTTAGTTTTTATGTATTGATTGCTATGTCCGCATGTAGCTCGCTTGCAGAGGCTATGCTAATCATTTATTTGTCTTAATTAATGTTACCTTTTTAAATAGTTCTGCTCCCCGCCCCCCAAAATTAATTTACTTTTCTGTTTGTACTCATGTGAGACAGCATGATATCTAATTTGTAACCCTAATGAAGGGAACATTTTCTGTTATTGTAGAAAGTAGTTTTATAAATTTTCATTTGTACCATTGTTTTAATCTTCTAAACAGACACTGAATTGCATCATATCTTCTATTTTTTGTGGTATTCAGGAAGTAACCTTTTTACTGTGTTCTTTTGTTGTTTGTTAAATCAGGCTAGAATTTGAGAGACAGCAACGAGAGGAGCTTGAAAAATTAGAAAGTAAAAGGTAACATTTCTTCTCTGTGGTCTTTGTGTGTGTGTATATACATATGTTGTAGACTCATTTAAATCATTAATTTGGAATCATGGTGTTACTCAGCAAGCAGAGGATCCCGATACAAATAATTTTGTTTTGTCATATATGAGGATTTTGGTTATTTTCTTGAACTGTTTGTTCTCATTGATTAGTAACAGATAGACAAGCTGAATTGTAGCTAACTGTGATCTTTAGCAAAGAAAATACCAAACACAAAGATAGGAGGAGGATAGATTATACAAATGTAATATATTATTCTCGCGCTTAATTTTCGTGGTGTGATTTTAAAAGATGGCAAATTACCTTCTTTATTCAGATCTTTTTTATGATTTCGTTGCCTTTGGATTGAATTTTGATTGGAAAAACTCATGTTATAAACTGTGCTTCTCTTAAAACTGTAGTGCTGGTGTGGGCATACCAATCATACTTATCAGAACATTATTTCAAAATCAGTTTGAAATACAAAAGAAAGTATTGTTGTCAGCTGGCAAGCTGAGCTGACTGTTCTGGCTCATCATACCTGCTAAAATTTTAGAAGCGATAGCTCTCACCTTGTTGCAGATCACAGCATTGATTAGATTCATAAGGTGACAGATACTTTCTGCCATCTCAGCTTTAGACTGCTTACTCCATTTTGAAAGAGCTATTTGTATAGCTGGACTAAGTTAAGTAAACTCAGAGAAACCCTGAAACTCTGAAGCATTAGGAGATGTCATTCAGAAAACAATGCAACAGAATCACAGATATTTATCCTCTTTGTTATGTTGATAGGATTTGAATTCATATTGCACTGAACTTGCTTTCCTTGTGCTTTAATTTATCTGACTTTGACTTTTTGCAAAATAACCAACTGACTTGCAGGTTGTCTCTGCGTGTATTGTGGGCAACTGTATTATGAGGATAATGGTGACCTTCAAGTCTCAGTCTGTCCTCCTTTGGAATGCACTAGAACCTTTAAAAGAGAGATGGCACAGGAAGTAATAATTTCTCTCTCAAATGCATCTGTTCCTAGTCTTATAATCCTGTTTATCAATAATTCAGTTGAGTTCACCTAAAGAGAAGACATTGTTTTAATTCATCTGTTGGCTTAAAATTGGTGAGGCAAATTCCTAATCAAGTCCTTTTACACAAGCCTGTGTATATGAGAATATATGTATATATAAAAATACATACATTTACTCTTTGCTGTGTGCGTGGATGTGTTCTATCAATATTTTTATTGGATTTGACAGAAATAATACAGTCTAATTTTCTACTAATGTGAGTACTACATAACATGTCTTACTGTAACTTCGTATATCCACAACTTTTTATGTGAAATAGAGGATATGAATCTCTTTACCATTTGTCTCATGCTTCGAGTCACTTCCAAGCAATGTAAGATCTTAACCTGTGGCAAAACAAAAATATTAAAGAAAGAAACCATTACATATACTGCAAAATACTTGTCCAAACCTTTTTAACTTTTAATGGATATGTTGTCTTTTGGAAAAAAAAGAGACGTTTGAAATACTGCATGTAAATGTTTTACTGTAGGAAACAAATAGAAGAGATGGAAGAAAAACAGAGATCTGACAAAGCAGAACTTGTGAGAATGCAGCAAGAAGTAGAGTCCCAGCGCAAAGAGACGGAAATAGTACAGCTGCAAATTCGAAAACAGGAAGAGAGTCTGAAACGGAGAAGTGTTCACATTGAGAGCAGGTTAAAGGATTTGCTGGCTGAAAAGGAAAAATTTGAAGAAGAGAGATTACGGGAACAACAGGAGATAGAGCTTCAAAAGAAAAAGCAGCAGGAAGAAATTTTTGCCCGGGTCAAAGAGGAGTTGCAGCGACTACAAGAACTTAATCATAATGAAAAAGCAGAGAAAATGCAGATTTTCCGTGAACTAGAAAAACTTAAAAAGGAAAAAGATGAACAGTATATTAAGCTGGAATCAGAAAAAAAGAGACTTGAAGAACAGGAAAGGGAGCAGGTGATGCTGGTGGCTCATCTAGAAGAACAGCTTCGAGAGAAGCAGGTCATGATAGAGCTCCTGAAGAGAGGGGATGTACAAAGAGTTGAAGAAGAGAAAAGAGATCTTGAAGATATTAGAGAATCTCTTTTGAAAGTCAAGGAAGCCCGATCTGAAGGTGATGAAAAACGTGAAGAATTAGAAAAAGCGCAACATGATTTCATAGAGTTTAAAAGGAAACAACTGGAACAGTTGACTATTTTGGAAAAAGATTTAGTTCAACAAATGGATCACCTAGAAAAGGAAATAGCAGATGAAAAAAGAGCTCTGGAACATTTAAAATTTGCACACGAAGAACATTTAAATCTCAAGAGAGATGATGAAAACTTTGTGGATGCCGTACTCAAGGCTGAAGAAGTTGACAAGATAAAGCCAGTGGAGTGCAGGCTCCAATCTAAACTACGCCAGCTTGAGTACCTGAAGAGTAATCATTTGCCAGCTCTTCTGGAAGAAAAACAAAGAGCTTCTGAAGTCCTTGATAGAGGCTTGTTAGGATTAGATAATACTCTCTATCAAATAGAGAAAGAAATAGAAGAAAAAGAAGAGCAGCTTGCCCAGTATAGAGCTAGCACAAATCAGCTACAGCAGCTTCAAGAAACCTTTGAATTCACAGCCAATGTAGCTCGCCAGGAAGAAAAGGTTCGGAAAAAGGAAAAAGAAATCCTTGAATCAAGGGAAAAACAGCAGAGAGAGGCGCTGGAGCAAGCTGTTGCTAAGTTAGAAAGGAGGCACTCTGCTTTGCAACGTCGTTCGACGATAGACTTTGAAATTGAAGAGCAGAAACAGAAGCTTGCCACCTTGAACAACAGCTGCAGCGAACAGGCAGGTCTGCAGGCTAGTCTAGAAGCTGAGCAGAAAGCCCTCGAACAAGACCGAGAGCGGTAAGTGGTGTCATAGTTTCCATTTGTTAGAATCTATCCACAAAACGTGAATCATTTTATACTTTAGGTGTCGAGAGAGCGACTTATTCTGTGTCCCAGTATTTCAGTTTCTTGGTAAGTTTCAAGTAGTTTACCCAGAATTGAAACTCTTTATTGCTTTTTAAAGGATTCTTGCGCACTCATTAATTTCTGTTGTGTTCACATACTTATCCCATCCTCTGCAGTATAGTCTTTGCATTAGCCGTAACACTACTTAAATAAATTTTTATAGCTATTTAGAAAGCTCAACCAACCTTATGTTCTGCCCTTACAAAAACATGTACTAACAACTTCATTCTCTTAAAATACTAACATATACCATTTTGTTTCTTTATTAGTAACATGCTAGGTGTTTGTTCAAGATCTGGAGACTGATAGTTACAGTAGACTGCCAACTATCTATCTTGATGATGTACTGAACACTTCTAGTATTCAAAGTAAACAGATGTAATGTTTAATTTTTTGTTATTGGTTTCAGGGCTAAATAAAATGGACTATATATCCATGTAAAATTTGGTGATGTTTAAGCTTATTGGTAAATATCCAGGCTTTAATACAGCCCTATGTGATGACAAACCCTTTTAGGTACAGAAGCAGTGCCAGCAGTTATACACATGATATTTGGTAGTATAACATTCAGCCTAAGTATGGGAGGCTCAGAGAAAATTGATTCAGGTAAAGAAGGATCTTTCTATGTGGAAGAAGAGGAAGAAATCCTTTGTTTGTTTGTTTTTGGCCTAAGCAAAAATCCACTGGGATTAATGCATTTAACCTATGCAGTATGGAAAAAGGGCAGAATTGCCCATTTAAAATGTGTTGTCTGATTTACTAATACTAGAGCTTAAAACCTGTGGTTATTAGTGAAACAATGAAGTGTTTTTTCTTGAGGTAGCATGTGTCATTTGGGTTTTTTAATATTCCACTAATTATCTGACTCTTCTTTCATAAGCCCTTCAAACAGAGATGCTTGATTAGAAAAAACACCTAAAAAAAGAAACTTGCCTGTAGCCAAACTCAAGAGCTCTTCTGTATCCTTTTCCTTTTAAACCATTATCAGAAGAGAATAGTTCCTTTCTATACCCTGTGTAAAGGTCACTCTTTCAACATTTAGAACTACATTTTGTGGAATTTGGTTACCATTTTGTTGTGGATATTGTCATTATTTTTCATAATTGTATTGAACATAAAATCTCATTTTCTACACTAAGCATCTTGCTTGACTCAAGTCAGCTGTAAACAAGTGGAGGTTCCACAAAAATAGACAGCTTAGCCCTCAAGAGATTGCTGGCTTGTGTGATAAGTGAAAATATGTTGTCAGGTAGAAGACTGGAGTTTGGAAAAGATACCAAGGAAGTGAAAAGGTCTCTCTTTTTTCTTCTTTTTTCTTTCCCTCCTTGTTTTTTTTCTTGTTTACTTTAAAGTCCTCTTGCACAAACTAAATAAAAGTTTGAAGTCTTTCAGTGAATTGCCCAGGGGCCTGAATAGTTCAATTCAGAATGTTTTTATAAATGTTGAGGCAGAAGAAAATCTTAAGATACATGATAACATCTTAAATGTTTGAGGCTACTTATCACTCTTGTGTTTGCGTTTATACTTCACAATACACCATGTCTTGGGTGCTATAGTAAGCATATGAATTGTGTATGTTTCTTACTGTTTATCTAGATACCATTATGTGATGATATGGTCTGGTTCAGATCAGTGTTAATTCTCTGAAAATGTTTAAATGCAACATTTATTTGAAATGCTCTATGAGTGTAAGTCCATCATAATTGGATAAAATGTTTTTTCCAGTTTGAATAATATGTTAACTCAAATTCTTTCACCTATAGGGATGACGCCTAAAATGATAATTTGAAGTTAACTTATACTGGAATACACGTTTTGTCTTTACTGGCAGACGTTTGTGACAGTAAAATCAACATAAAGCAACTTTAGAGTCATTATTCAGGCAACGGGATGTATCGCTCACAAGTGGCAAAGTGCAGTTTAGCTTGCTTACCGGGGGATGCATCACACGGCTAGATAAGTTCATAGCTATAGGAAGTGATATCTTTTGATAGCAGGACATTTACAAATCAAGAGATAAGCTTTGTTCCTTTAACATAATTCTGATTTTTGTGGTTAAATTGATTTTCCATAGATGCAAACACTCACCTATATCCATCAGCCATCTCCTATCCACTTTCCCTCAGGATGCAAGATTGTTTTGCTGCTAATCAAAAGAAACGGATGGCTTCTGGCGGTGCTGCAAAAAGTACTCTAAAAATGAAGTAACAATTCAGCCTGCTTTACTGCAGCCTAAGCCTCAGCATTCGTCATCTTTAATTTTCTGTTTTAACCTCCAGGGTAGACTAAAGTAGTTGTAGCACTGTACTTCAACTTTGATATATGCAATTGTAGGATGAGTGGTAGAATCCTGACTTTGCATAGTTTCCCCTGCTTTTGCAGGAACTTCTCTTCTTTTATTCTTTAATTTTCAAGTAACCTCCAGAAAAACAATTACCTTTAGAGACAGAAGTTGTAATGGAAATGGGGAAGATTATTCCTGTGTTAGTAATCTAATCTCAGCTACATTACAAGTGAAAAGTGTGTTCTGAAGATTACATTGTTATAATACAGTTTAATTGACTAAGTGATAAATATTGCAAGAAGTGCTTCCTATTTTATACTGGATGCTTCAGGCATTTTCAGTCAAAAATATGATATCCAATTTTACATATTCTATCCTGTGCATAAATGTGGCTGGTATGAAATTTATTTGTTGAAGTGAGGAGGTTTCTGTTTCAAAAGATGATCTATTAGGTGTATATATAAAATAAATACTAGATGTTTGATTTTGTGAGTAAATTTCTGAAAATAAATATACAGACCAAAGGAATAACTGGAAAATAGAACTTATATGTATAGTACACAATTTAAAGGTTTTCTTATAGTTATATTTTGCCACATCGTTTTTTTTAGATTGTCTTTGGTTTTTTGGATTAGTGCTGTATTTTGAACTTTTAATTTTTTTCCCCCATTTATTCATTTACTTCATACTGGAAGCTAATAACTGAGGTCATTGATACAGTTCTGTAATGAGGAAAGTTTATTCAAGTGATCCTAATAGCTAGGTTAAGTCTTATGAATTAGTATTCAATGAGCTGAGTTAGATAACTTCCAATGCAAAGGGTATCAAAGTTGTTTTATTTGACTTAATACTGCAGTTGAAATGTGGTTTTGAGCTGTGTCCGTTCTCCTATCTAAATATGCTTAAAGAACAATTATGGGTTTTTTTATATCTTCATAAATATTAATACGTACAATCTTACATACATGTATCCCAGCGTAGGTACAGTACTTCCCATAAGAACTATAGGAATCAACTCTAAACCAAAGCAAATTACATTGTAAGATCTCTTTACAGCCTGGACCAGGAAATTCAGCAGCTGAAGCAAAAAATATACGAGAGTGATGGTGGTCAGAAAGGAAATCATGGAACATCAGAAGAGAGACTCTCCCATACCACTTCCCCTACCAGCCCAACAAAGGCACAGCCACCCACTGCTCCACTAGTTGATGACAGGTAGGTAACCTGCATTTCTGCAATGTTTTGGTAGGAATGCAAACAATAGCTTTAGAAAGGGAATATTTTCAAAGATTGTTCTGGCTGGGTTGGATTTTAATTAAATGCTGTAATTGTACTTAAGGACTAGTCTGGAAATAAAATTAATTTGCTGTCCTTTACTTTACATAACCACCAGCCTAATCTGTTGTTCCTGTGCAGTTTGTTTTACAATGGAGCTTTGGGAAACTGTAGGCTAAAATGTATTTAAATTGTTTTTGTGTTTGTAATTACTTGTCTATATGGTGTTGCTTTATGTACAGTTAAAGCAACAAAGTAAATGAAATTGTGTTATCATAGAATCATTATGGTTGGAAGAGACCTCAAAGATCATCAAGTCCAACCGTACACCCGATGGCACCATGCCCACTAAACCATGTTAAGCCTTTTTTAGTAGGGCAGCTGCCTGGTATCCCTTAAAATCTGTTTCATCTCGGTTCTTTTTAGGCTTATATGTGCAGTTGTTAGTATCGACTCCTGGAACACTCCTTCTGTTAAAGACCAAACCTTTGTTAGCCCAAGTTGCCAATAACGCAAAAGTGATAAAAGCAAACCATTAAGTAAATAAAGATGCAACCCTGGCTTTCTGTTTCTTCTTCATCGCTCTTACCCTCACTGCCACTTGTATGTAGAGCTGTACGCATATCAGTGGCTTAACCTGTGGTCCATTAAATTGTGTAGTTGTAATAACAAATTGTTAACCTTTGCATGTTAAATGAACGCTTGCTCGAAAGTCTGTGTTCCGCAAGGAGGAATAAAACTGGCCTAACATTAAGCGTACCAATTAAGAGTTGTGCAATACTTAGGGTTCATAAGCGTTTCAAAGAACCCTTTAGCCTGTCTTGAAACCTTTGCCTGTTAAATGAACGCTTGCTGGAAAGTCTGTTCCGCTAGGAGGAATAAAACTGGTCTAACATTAAGTATACCAATTAAGAGTTGTGCAATACTTAGGGTTCATAAGCGTTTCAAAGAACCCTTTAGCCTGTCTTGATTTTTATCTAACAATATACTACTTCCCCCCGCCTCATATCTTGAAGGATAAATGCCTTTATTGAACAAGAAGTGCAGAGAAGGCTCCAGAATATTCATCACAAAGCTGAGGATAACAATGTTAGCCTATCCTGGTCTACAGAAAGTTTAAAGGTGAGCAGAGATGGGTAGGAACTCCTGACGTTCGATGTACCCTGTGTAACTACTGATTTAGTTTTGTTGTTCAATAGTTTTCATGTTTTCCTATGTCGACTTAATTTACCAAAAAAACCCCCAGTAAATCAGGGATATCAGTTTTAGATTTTGCTCATTTGTTGGACCCCTCCGTCCCCGTCCCCCCCCATCCCTTTCCCAGTGGTGGTTTTATGTTGTATTCCATTTTTTTTGCAGGGGAGAGCATGGAAATGGCAATAGAAAGCTTGCAGATACAATAAAAATCTTCATTTTATGTCTGTAAAATATACTGATAAAATTCCATCCAGAAGAATGATAATTGTTTATACTGGCAAACAAATGCTTATTGAAAAACTGGTGATCTAATTAATCCAAAGACTGGGTTGATTGACTTCTAAGCCAGTGGTTTAGTAACTATCAATAAGAAAATAGTTATTTTTGGCTATTAAAAAGAATGTCTCTTCCTATGAATGCTTTTAAATGAACTTATACAAGAAAGGCCCTCTTTTTAATAATCACCTGTACCTTTTTTGTTCTTAGGATAATGAGAGGCTTAATAACGGCACTGTTCAACGCAAACTGAAGTATGAGGTAGGTCATAATTTGTCAGAAAGAAATGATTGTCTTAAATTATAGCATGCCCTGTAATTAAATTTCTTAATGTTTAGCTGCATAATTAGAATTTTGAATTCACGGCAAGATTAATGGCTAACAGAGACAGCAATGCATTTTGCCAGCTGGAATCAAATGATTTTTTTCAGATTGGGCATAGCCTTTTCCATATTTGAAAGGTGTGATGTTGTGGATATTTCTTCCTTGTCTTGTCATGATTCTTAATTTGGAACAGTATCCTTTTCCTGATTTTTAAAGGATAAAAGCATTTAATGAGGTGAGATTGTCGGAATTCTGAATATCACTTCACATTTTGACTCACAGTTAACCACTGTAAGGGTATCTATAATATTAGCGAGTAGCATTGGGCAAATTTACTTATGTCATGAAGGATTCATACATGTATTTTTAAGCCAAGACGTAGACTCCTCCCACCATACTTGGTTGCCGAGCTTTTGCTTGGAACATGGTTAATTACTTGTCTTGGTGAGTAAATCCTAAATACCTTTATGGATTTAAACCTTAATAGTAGGAGGGCTATAACACCTCTAATTTGGACTTTTTTGGACTTTTACACGATTATTTTTAAACTGTGTTGGACTTTTTATGCTGTCTTGGATAGTATAGGATTACTTTTTTGTGCATGTATGGAAAAATACTAAAGTGCTTATAAATTTCTGTGTTGCCCTTTGACTTTCCTGTGATTTTCAAGTAAAGCAAATATAAACCAAGTGAAATGGATACTGTACAAAGAAAAGGCAGTGGTGGATTGGGAAGATCAACCATTCCTGAATCAGACCTCAATCATGTCTGTTGCATTTTCTCTCTCTAATTTTGAGAGATTGTACAATGATTGTACCAATGTTGAATGATTGTACCAACCTAATCAAAATCAATCCTCAATTTAAGAAGTGTTCAAATCGGAAGGTTTTAAAAAGACGTTTCTATTTTCTTCTTTTGAAATTTTTAACAGAAAAGTCAACAGTGGCAGCCACATTATGGCTTTCCATTTATGTCTAAAGATGGCAGTTGTGCTTCTGAGTTGTGTGGAGAAAACGCAGGAGTAAGAGACCGTAAAACACAGAAGGCATATACAGAGATGTGGGATTTATTTTCCAGTTCTGGAAGAATCTCCACCCCTTTTACATCAGAGAAGGCATTTGAGAACGAAAGGAGTAATTCAGAACAGGAGAGCCTTGCCTGTCGTTGTGACACTGAAAGTAGTTTAGTTCACTCTAAAAATATTAATACTTTAAAGAGTAAGAATGCTCCTTACCAGAATGTTTTATCTACTTCTTTACAAAGTCATGACTTAAATAGTGCGGCTTATTCGCTCTGCATTGTTGAAAATTTCAATCATTTTGACGATAAAATAATTACTTCTCCGGATTGTGACAGCTCAAGAACTGAATCTGATTGTTCCCACTTGAAACAGCTGTCTTCTGTGGGATCCTTAATGGGTGCTAATGAGCAGGCTGACTTTAACAGCATATCGTGCCTTCTTTTTTCTCGGTCTAATGTGCATTCTGAAATAATAACTTGTAGAGAAAATAGCCCCTTTAAGACAGTGCACCCAACAGTCAAAGACCAGTCTAGTAATTCTCAGCATCCAACACAAAAAACCTCTGATTTGATTTCTTTTAAGTCAATAGCTTCTCATTTTGATATGAGACCAGAACACACTTATAGTTTGGGATGTCTTTTCAGTAAGCTTTTCTGCCTTTACAAAGATACCAGCAGTCAGCTGCTCAACAGTACGGTGGTTTCTAAACAGCTTAAGGAGTTGGGAAGTTTGTGTGACAGAAGCGAGAGATGTGCACAAGCAGTATCATTAATAAAAAATCTACCATTGATAAAAAACTTGCAAGTAAATGTATTCAGGTCCGATAGGAATCAAGACATGTCTCACTCTGCTGATGATGCCAAAGCTCATACTGAAAATACCATCCATTCTGAATCCCCTGTGCAAGAGGCTATCACAATGTGTGTAAGCACAGAAGTCTCTGATGCCTGTGCAAGAAGGCCCTCTGAAGGATTTACATGCAGTTGTAAAAATGAAGAGCTGGAAAACAGTCTTGTGTTAAGACAGAAACTTGTCCATTTTCCTGATGTCTTTTTGAAGCTTCAGGTCTGTTCTCTGGAAAAAATGCTGGAATTTTTGACCTGTGCCTTACCTCAAATTTGTATTAGGATGGAGGACTTAAAAGGTATATATTGGCTCGCTGTTGGCGATTGCAAAAAACCTGATCCAGAACCTGCTTGCGTGCTTTTGTTCAGCACCATTCTGTATGTTGTTGTTTTGTCAGTCGAACAAGGTGTCTGCCATAGTTCCTTGGCAATGTTTCATGAGATTCCCATTGTCACTATAAAGGAGATTCAAGTTGGCTTTGCTGGACAGAATATTAGTCTTCTGTATTCTGCTGAAGATGGTTTGCTCACAGTATTTACCTATAACAAACATTTCACTCAAAGAATTTGCCATGACATAATGAGTGTTTTGGTTTCTACAACAGATGATGCTGTTTATTTAAATCACCAGCTCTTGAAAGACGATTTGATGCAGATTTCGCTTGACTGGACATCAGAAGTAAATGACTTAGTTTTTTCAAATGGAGTACAATTGTCCTGTAAATTTAGAACTGAATTAGCTGACCTGGTTTATTTACTCCATGAAAATATGGGAAGTATTAAACCTTCATTAGGTGACATTCATGTACTGCTGTATGCCTCAGTGAAAGTAGACTGTGCTAAGCAGACTGTCTATAGAGCTCTTGTTCTTACAACTACTCATATAGGTCTCTTAAGGGAAAATAAGGTCTTTTATCCCCCATCTAAATTTCTGGATACTTCGTGCCAGCAATCACAATTTGACAACCTTCAGTTGTATAGTTTGAATGATATCCGATGTGTAGTTTTGCCAGACAAAGAGAATTTTACAAAAATTGAGGTTGTGTTTTCTAGAAGGAGCAAGGTTGGATCTGATTCAGGAATTGGTTTTTCTAAATACTGTGTAAAAGAAATAAATACTCAACTGACAGTCATCCCACCAATTCTTCAAAGCAGTTTGCATATCCCTTCGGAAACCTGGAAATTAACATTCAGTTCAAGTGAAGAAGCCATTTGGCTAATTATGCATCTGACTAGGTGTTGAAATCCAAATACGTTTAGATACATTCAAAATAAGAGGCTAATGAATATTGATAAAATCCCCCCCCCCCCCCTTTTTTTTTAATCAATAGGCAGAAGAGTCCTTTGAGCCTGTAAGGGAATACCGTAAGGCGTGTACACACATCTTGGCGAAAATAATTATTACTTGAGTGCTTGCTTTTTGTGGGTCTCTAATATACTGTGTATATATTTCCTTGGGAAAGTGAGGAAATTAAATGTTTCTATCTTATGCAGTAGGTGGATCAAAACTATAATTACAGCTGTGTCTTCTGATTTCCATTTTGGCTATGTTTTCTGGCTCCATCCATCTACTATCTGTCTTCATTAATGTCTTCTCCATTCCTCCTTGATTGCCTTTTCCTTAATCTTTCTGAATATCTTTGTTTTTTCATGCTTCTCGTTTATTTCATGCCCTCAATCTCAATATTTCAAAACATCTGCAATACTTTTTTAATCTTACATTCACTGTATGCTGTTTAATACTAAGGATGTTTATCGCTTTTCTACTTACAGTTTTGGGAAGAATAGCATTGACAAGTCTCTCCTGCTTCAGAGTTTTTGCATTTAAGGATTATTGCACTCTTGCACAAAAGTTTGTCACAAGTGCAAAAGGAGTTGTGTTTGGCTTATTCTAAGTGTGTTAGCCGAGTTGCCAGGAATTGATGGATTTGCCATGTCTCTCTGCTTCTGCGTTTGCCCCCTTGGCCTAGGGCTAAGAGAGCGTAGGCTACGTGAAAGCAGTGAAACAGAACAAGGAAAATGCAGAGAACATCCAATACTCCTTTTAGTTTCTCCCTCCCCTCCTTTTCTTGCAGGGAAGGAGTGCATGGCTTTAAGTCATTCCTATGTGTTTTGTCCAAATAGTTCACTTGTACTCCTCCACGGTAGAATAAGTCTTTATATTCCCTTGATGCAAGTGTTTAAGGAAAGTACGATGTTAAAATGAACCTGGTTAAAGGATGTAAACATTTTGGTTGTGCCTTAAGTAGCATTTTGACCTTTGGTCATGCTACTATGCCTGTGGTAAGACAAACGTTTTGTGGTTTATCATCTGTGTACATGTTTCTCATGATATTAAATGGAAAGTTAGCAACTGGGGATACTGCCTGATGGATGGAGTAAGTTTAACTCTACAGTTCTCTCCATGTAATGTGCCTGACCTGACTTTCCTCTTTTTCTGCTTGCTTACTAATAGGGTTGTTGATGCTGTGAGAATTGCATCTTTTACAGTCTCTTTAGTATTACATTCCAAGAAACCATGGAACTGTTGAACATTAATATGAGATTTCTATTAGTCTAGGCTTGCCTTTAGCTTAGTACAAGGTTATTCTTTTCCTGTTACCCCTGTCAGATGTTCAAATAATAAATAAGCTCTTGCCTCCCATCTTTTGTTTCTTCCCTTGTAAAGGGAGCTGAATACCTTTTGAGTCCTGTTGCTTGAATGTGCCATCTGCCTTGTTTGAGGAAGATGGTCCTTGGCAGAAAAACCAGTGGTATCTAATCTGAAATTCTGAATTCTGTAAGCATATTGCCAGTAGCAGTGCAATCTTCTGCTAGACAGAGTTAGACTTCAGTCTCTCTAGTAGTATAAGAACATTTCCCATTTGTTCTTACCATATGTTAAGACATGATAACGTAACTCACATGGGATTTAAGAAGAAATAACTTGCATTGGATGAGGAAGATTTGTCTGGAAGGATGTACGCTAGTTTGGATAGAGAATTATGTGGTTTTTTATCATAATAAAACTTTCTACTGCCTTAAGGAAGTCCAAAGATGAGCAAATGTGTCACATTATTTTGAGATATGATTTTTGTTTTTAACAAAAAAAGTATACACAAATATCTCGCAGAACATGGAGTAGACAGAGTAGTTATGAGCTGGAGCGTAAGCTCGTGTCAGTCCAGTTCAAGAGTCGCTCCCTCATGGACATCACCAAGGCATTTCTTCTGAGCCTTGCCGAAACGTAGCATTGAGTGGCACTATCTGGGAGGACTGTCTCTTAATCAAGGCTGTTAAAGGAAAGCAATTTCTGCAACTAATTCCTTTTCAGATTATACCCTAAAGTTAAATATTTGTGCGTGTTGCCTTCCCGAAAACATGGGTTTCCTCTTTTGTGTTTGTTTTCAAATCTATCTCGATGAATATTCTGCACTTTTATGAAAAAAGGACTTTACAGCAATATCTTCTATTCTACTGTAAATTAAACATACCATAATGATTGATGTTTACGAATAGCAAAGCATTATTTAATGTATTAGGGTGTGTTTTTCACAACACTTTGTGCTTGAGATTATTTCCCTCTCTGACTATTAACTGTTTGTAATAGTTCTCTGAAAATGACTGCCAATAAATGATGTGTTGACAGAGGTGGCTTTAAGAGTGACTGAATGGTTTTATTGTTGTTTTAAAACAGATGATATTGTTGTCAAGGCAATGAACTCCTCTTTCCCCCAAGGAAAGAATTGCTTACATTTCTATGCTCCAGAAATTAGTTTTAATTGAAAAGCCAGTGACGTTGGGAGAAGTGAAAGAAGGGCAAAATGGAGAGAAGAAAATATTTGTTGTGCAAACAAAGGTCACTGACAATATTTTTTCCATTCAAACACAAACTTTTTTATATTTTCACAAAAAAAAAAGTAAGTTTGTGCAAAATCTCTTCTAGATAAAGTCAGTTAATTGGAACTAAAATTCACTTTATTTGTATTTTCTTTTTCACTACTCTTAATGCTGACGTTAAGGGAGATAACATTGGCATTTACAATTGACTGGTAATGAAATAACAGCCTCCCCTTCTGGGGAGCCAGGTGAGGATGCCAAAAAGCTCTCTGTAACAGGCAGCATTTAGAGTGGCGTCTATGAATGAGTTTCAGACTTTTCTCCAGCTCCTACACAGTATCACATGTGCTGGCTGTCACCAGGAGTTGCTGCAATGAAACCAAGTGTTGGTGGGAAGAAGTGTGAGCCATGCTCATGTAGGGGTCGAAAATGAATGTTGAGAATACAGTTACAGATGAAGTGATGGATAGCTTCACTAAATACAAATACGCAACACTGTCATAACTTTAAAGTGATGGTTTTTTCAATCTTTTCTGTTATTGCTAACTTATATTTGTCATGGTGCTGTTATTTTTTTAAGTACAAGTTCATTAAGGTTTTCAGACCAAATACGTTCAATGGAGAAAGTGGAGGACTTCCTAAAAGGCAGCTTCTGCACCGTGAATACTTATACTACTTTTGGACACAGGCACTGCAAAGCATTAATCTTTTCAGTTGCAGAAATATTTTGTTTTTGACGTAACTTCAGAGTTACTGACTCTATCTGACTGTTGATTAGAGGCATGTGCCCTCATTACAAATAACTGTTTAGATCGTTTTGTCGAGGCCATGCAAATTTATCATAGTTGAGTTTTCTGTTAATTAGGTATGATTTAAAGAAAATAGTAGGAAACTGTTCTGACAGTGGATTGCTATGTTAGCTATACCTTATTTAATTATAAAATTAGTTTGGATTTTTAAATTCTAAGAGCTGTCTGAATTGCCTAGATCCCCTGCAGCTTTGCATGATATTGTAAACAGGTCTGTTATAAAAGATAAAGACATACAAGAAGTATGGCTGACTGTGAAGGCTTGATTAATATATTTATTTTTTTTAAAGAGAATTAATACAAAGTCTTCTGCTTTCCCTTGTCTTTGATATCTAAGCTGAAAATGCCTTTTCAAAGAAAAAGCAGTGTTTTTGAACACACTTCACCTTGATTTTTTTCATGCATAACAAAACGCTAGGGCTTGCTTATAAAAGGAGATCCACTTTGTTTTCAAATAATTCCTTCATTTTAGAAATAATTTCTGCCGCCTCCATGCTCTCTTCCCCTGTTCTTCTGGCCAAGAACATTTATTCATTTTTAGTGAAGTTCTTTTCTTTTTTTCCTTATGTAGTGATTTTGATTTTCCTTTGTTCTCCCTATTTGGTATGCACATGAAAGCGGATGGTCTGTCGTTCACTGGGAGCAAATCCAGATGACCTAAAGGACCCAATTAAAATTAGTATTCCACGCTATGTCCTGTGTGGGCAGGGAAAGGATGAACATTATGAGTTTGAAATAAAGGTAAGTGCTTTTCAGTTGTTTCCTCTTAATGTTTGGGATCTCTGTATACATGTTGCTTGCAGTTGTACAACAGTAGCATCGTAATAACAATAATAACAGAAAAATGCCTTTTGTTTATAACCAAATAGTTCCCAGTTTGCTCTCTTTGACTGTCAGTGATCACTGTCACAGCATCACAGTTAGTGAAGATGGAAACAGCAGCTGAAAACACACCTGAGATTCTGCAGGTTTTAGAAATCACCTTACTAACCGTGAAATGTAGTTTTTGTTCCACTAAGTGTGATTTTTGGTTCTCTTTCTGTTGTCTAAGTGGCCTCAGTACTGTTAAATAAGAGAGATGGTGAGAAGGCATGCAGAATGCAGGATGCTATAAGGACAGGTATTTTCCAAGTGGATCAGTTGTACACAGGAGGTTGGTGGTTGAATTCTTGGAGTGAGCAGTTCCAGATCCAGTGTCAAATAGTTCAGTTGAAAGTGTTGCAGAGATGAGGATTAAATGCATGTTGGGTATAGGAAAGCCCTTTATTGAGATGGGAATGTCAGGTATAGAAAATGATTAGACTTGAAATATTTACCTGTAATAATGAAAGCATAATTAGCATTTTGCACATGTCCACAACAAAGGGCTGATTCCTTTCAGGCTCTCTTTGTTATTCTGATTCTTCCCACCCTGTGTTTCCAAGGTCTCGCTGCTCCAAACTGTTCTCTGCTTCCCGCCCGTTCTAGTGGCTTCCTCAGTTCATCTTCTGTGCAGAAATGCTGGAAAAAAATGTATATTCATTATGTTTCCTCTGGTACTATGCCAGTGTTTTTTCAAAGCAAGATGTGAAATCTAATTGGAAATGTGCTCTTGGTGCATGTGGACATGTAGCATAACTGATGTACATGGCATCAGAGACAGAATTGGCAGCCACCTTCGCTGAATGTACTGCCAGATGCTTCGTTAGCTGATGTAATTTGGAGGAGTGACCTGCCCTCACAGTGTGAAGGACCGTTTTTGAACTGTGCTCACATTCTCTTTTACAAAGGCTTTTATTAAGGTAGGCAATCTTAGCTCTGTTTGTGCTAATTAAATTTTCATCTTGAAACATACTGCACAATTAGTGGATGGAATACTTCCTATTGCCTTTTGAACTTTGAATTTCCTGGGGCCAGCTGAAGCCCAGAGCCAGAGAGATGCTGAGAGAAGAGGAGGTGCGTATGTAACTTCCCCAAAGACCCACCAACTATTTTCAGCACAAGGGATTTACTGAACTGGGTAATGGTTAGTGAAGGTAGATAAAGTAAAAAGATAGTTTCTCTTTTCAGTAAATTGGTGGATTTCTTTTCCAAGTATTCTCCCTTCATCCCTAAAACCCACGTAAGCATCTGCAAGATCTTAAGATGAAGGGGCAGTTAAAAGAGTGTGTGCAGGAAGACTTGGACTTACCTGGAAGGAAATGTAGTCAAAGAAAAATGTTGGAAGGGAGTGGGATTCGTAACCAGGAAGGAACAGGAGGATATATCAACGGGAGATACAAAGGCATATAAAACTGGGCTCCAGCAGTTCTGTTGCTTGTATTTTGTTTCTGTGAGAAGCAAGGCTTGCGACCTAACCTCAGCAGTGGCACAGACTGAGCAGATGCTCTAGCTAAGAGGGGTGCGTATAGAATGGCTATTCTCTTCTCTCATACCTGCCAGCACAATCTTTTTCTTTCTCTCCTGTGCTGTTTCTAAGCTGCCTCTGAAAGAAACCGCTGCTTAAACTGTTTTGGTGAACTTCAAAGCAAAGAAATGGATGACATAAGGAGTAGGGAGTGGGCTATCACTTTAATAATTGTATTCCTTTGCTGTCAGCTTCCTTAGAGCACTAAGTATTTTTACTGAAGCTCTTATGGATCTTAGTTTGGCAGTCTTTGGGATGTTTCTGATAGTCATTCCCTTATGCAAATCAATCAACTGTTTATGCTCTTTCCTTTCCCTCCAGGTCTCTGTATGTCACAGTGGGCTGCTTTTGCTGTGGTCAGGATTTGGCTTCAAGCTACAATCCACAGACCTTCCACAAACTTTTCTGTTTTAAACCTCCCCCCTGCAGAGCTCCCAGCTCTACTTTGATCTGTATTAATCTTCAGCTGCTGCTACGGTTAGTCTATGGGAAGTCTCAATATGTGGAATACTGATATTATTTTTTATTCCCCCCT